TCTTTTTTATTAAATTCTGAAGTATTTCTCAAATCAAGGAAAATTTAATAAATCTTTGTGGGACTTAATAAAAGAACAGAAGATTTATATATCTAATAAAAAATTCATTCAGTTCCGATGGCTTTATTAATCTGTTTTATATGTCTTCTTATCACCTATTAGATATCATTTTGTTTCTCAAAATTCCAAGAGTAGAAATCATTTCTAAAATAATTTTTATATAAAAATATATAGATTACTCGGTATTCCATATGCCTATTCTTTAAGGTAGATTTGAGAGTAGCTTGCATAATCAGGGAGCATCAGAGGAAGGTCTCATTGGCTGCTGAACTTCAGATCAATTTTGCCATTTTAACACTATTTTCTTCATAACTCACACAGATTTTCCCTCAGGGTTTTCAGAGAATGAAGAAGAGTTAAAATTAAGCATTTTTGAAGTGCATTTGAAATTCATCTCTGTAGCAAACTACAGAATACAAGCTTTAGCTTCTTTTTGTTTTTAATAACAAAGAGGCTACTTTACTAATGAATATTTCATAGCATGTCAAATTGTGTTATAATCCTTCTTTACTGAAGGAGAAATAAGTGTAGGTCTCATTTAAAAACTCTTTTGAGTATTTATAGCTCATCAATTAAGAATTAAGACCAATTAAAAAGGAATCTGTAAGGTTAAGCATTTGCTGATAATTGGAATGGGACTATTCTGAATATAAGCATTTGAGGATTTGAATAATGGGGGTGGCTTTTTTTCCGGAAGATAATATTAGATGACAGTGGTAATACTGATTTCTCCCAACAAAGTATGCCCTTTCTTTAAGGACCAGGAGAGAGGTTCTAAAAGTGATATGAAACACAAAATAACTGAGAAGTCAGCACTGATATTAGCTTTCTTAAGCCACATAGGAAATGTACTCCATCACTTACCAAGAGCTTTATGCAATAACCACCCCAGTAGCAGACTAGAAAACCTTTATTCTAGTCCTTCTTTCTCATTTACTAGTTATGCAACCTTGGGCAAACCACTTAATCTTTGGGGGCCTCTTTTTTGTTTTTCTCGTAAAATACCAAGAACTTTCATAAAGAAGCTCTGTTCAGTTTTAAAACTGCCATTTATTTTAAAAATATAATTTGTTTTTAAATACGTAATATGTAACATGATGTTTTCTTATTGATACTAATCTCTAAAATATATATTAAATTGTACATTATTGTTAACATAATGCTTTTCACATATTCTAAGCTCAAACTATCATAGAACAGTTGGACTTCCAAAATAAAAACATTTGCAATAAACCCATATAACTCATAAATGTAACAAATAAAGCATACCAATTTATTTAATAAATTATTGATTTTGCTTCATCTTTTTATGTTAATATCTGCATATTATGATAAATACCAAGATAACAAAAGAAAATCTAAAATACCTGGGCCACATGGTACTTTATCTCCTGTTAATAATTGAGTTTCTTTTTAATTGAGTGCAGCTTATTTTATTTTGATATATCTTTTTCCATTTACTTAGAACAATATTTTGAGGGAATGTATATTTTCCCTAATATTTATGTCTACCTTTTTTTAAAAGACAAGCCTAAGTCAGAGTTTATATATTAACTTCACAACTGCCCCTTTTGTGTTATTGTTGTATTTTCAGCAGCCCATAAATATGGCCCAACTGTAGGCTAAGACTCAAATGTTTACATTTGTTTATATCAATTGCACTAATAAAATCTTCTAGCACATATAAAAACATATCCATATCCATATCACTGTACTTTAATTGATCAGTGGTTGTAAAAAGAAGTGTAAGAAATAAACAAAAGCTATTATAACAAAAGAAGAATTACACATCTTTTAAACTCAGTTTGAGTTTCCAATATGATAGAAAATAAATGCTGATCAGAGAACCAGATGGGAAAACAGACTGAAAAGAATTTTTTAAAGAAAACATGCCTACTAGTGTTTATTAGTATTTACAAAATATCTAGTCTTCAACCATTATACATTTCCCTAACTTTATCCTTTTCCAACATTAGTCTTTCAACTTACTACCATTTTGTGACCAAATTCTTTTTTTACTTCAAATGTTCTGTGTCAAAATTCATAAAATATATCATTATCTTAGTTCCAACCAGCATAGGAATTCTTTTTCCAGGATTTTTAATTTTTTTTTTTTTTTTAACAGCAGTGAACGAAACAGACCAAAGAACTCATGCTTTTATGGAGTACACCTTTGTGGGGAAGGCGTGTGCAAACAGACTGTATAAAATGACCAAGAAGACTTGAATGTTCCCCTCAGCTCTGCTAAACTTTTGAAAGGCTGCTTCTTGCATCCAGGCCCCTGATTGTCCTTCTTCCCAGGTCCTTAGAGAGCCCAGATGGCCTAACCACAGAGGTCCTCCTCTTTGTGTCAGAGCATTTGCTTTAAAAAACTTGCAATTATAAATTCTTTCTCTGCCCCTTTGAGATATGAATATTCTCATAGCATCCTGTCAGTTTTATAACCCAGGACTATCTTTCTTTGAAATGTAATTTTTTTACATTTTAAAATGTAATTAGCAAGAAAGATAGTGTCCCTATAGCCCAGTTTCTGTGGGAGGGCAGGAGCCTGACTTAGGTAGATACCTTGGTCTAAGTTGTAAAACTGCCTAATGTCATAAAAATATAAGAAAGTTGACTTTTCCTTAAGGTATGGTCAATTAGCAAACCCAGATGGCCTATGGTCCTTTCCATACAAGTTTTTAAAAACTCTCCAGTGCATTGTGTCAGTAAAATTTAGTTCAGACTATGTTTTGGTCTCTCTCCCTTATTATAAAAACATTGAATAAGGTCTTTCTTACCAATTTAATTTTGTCTGGTGCAATTTTTGCTTTGACAAACCTAAAAATATACTGTGAGGAAAAATAAAGTAGGGTGTAGGGCACTAATGTTGTAAGGTGTGTATCTTTGAAAATGTAAGTAGAGTGATCAATATTTGAGCAAACACTTGACAAAGACTTAACGGTGAACAAAACATCCTTGCAAAAGGAGGCTTCCAGACAAAGGAGAGTCAATTCAAAAGGCTTGAGATGTGGATTAAGATGTGTGAGGTGGCCAGTGTAGTCATAGTGAAGTGACAAGGGCAGAGAAATGCAATATAAAACCGTACTGATTATAGAAGCCAGGAATACAGTGCCTTGTAGACCATTGTAAATAAGAATGTCCACTTTTACCCTAAGGTAGGAAAAAGGTTGTCACTGGAGGAATTTGAGCAGGAACAGGTCATAATCTGACCTGCATATGTTTTAAAAGGGCCACTGTTGTACCAGAAATAGACATTCAGAGACAATAGTAGAGAAGCAAGGAAACTAGTTAGAAACTTATTGAAGTAATTTGAGAGAGAGACAGAGACAGAGACAGAGACAGAGACAGAGAGGTAAAAGAATGGCTCTTGAGCAAAAATAGAGTGGTGGTGTTGAGAAGTTGTTGGATTCTGGATATATTAATATTTTGAGCATATTGTGAAGGAAAAATCAATAATATTTTCTAACAGATTGACTTATGAGAATGAGACATGTCAAGGATGGATTGAAGTGTTGTTCTATTGTGTTTTTGTGCATTTGTTTGGTTTTGATGTTTTGTTTTTGTTTCTTTGAATCATCATGTTCTTATTAACTGAGATGGTCAATCGGGGAGGAATTTCAGAAATTCAGTTGTGAATATGTTAAGTTAAAATACCTATTATTTTATCAATACATGAGGGCTCACAATCTGAACAAGTAATACAAATATTGATCTCAAAAAGTTGTATCGACAAAGGTGATACATGAAAAGTTCTTAGACCTGTGGATAGCATATAACAAAGGCCTTAAAATGTTAATATATTACATGTACACCTGTAGGTGTTGACCCTATCAGATGCAATGCTGCCTTTAAGTACTCAGAAATAAAATGTATAAATAATTTAATTTTCTATATGATTGAAAACATAGAGCTCTGACTATTCTTTACAAAATAATCTTAATAAATAATCTCATCATAAATGCTAATTATAGCACTATGTCTATCATGGTGCTAAAAATATTAAAACTAAGGAGGCTAGAAATCATGTAAGATTTTTACAATAATGCTTACTAATAACATTCAAAGAAATTTTGGGTTTTATATGTTCTTGCTAATTTTAAAAAATTATAAATTTGTTACAAGAAATATATTTCTGTAAATATTTATATTTGTATAAATATTTTCAGTAGGATTTATCAATTTGGGGCTAACTGTGCTATTAGACTAAAAATCTTTTCAATTTTTATTTAGTTGCTACAGTATATAGATAAACAATATGCTCCAAGTTAATAAATTATTCAATTATTTTGAGAAAATATGTTCTCAAAGTTTAAATCTTTATTATATTTAAGCTTCCCTCTTCATAATGAATTTTATAGTCTTGAAATTTTTATAAAAGTTATTTAAAAATTAGATATTACTGATTTATATTTGTAGTGGGTTTAATATGGCAGGATATTTAAAAATAATGCTACACACAAGACAGTTCTCTGCTTTATAGGAAGTATAGCATCCCCAGCTCCTATCCACTAAATGCAGTAGCACCTCATCTCCACTGTCATAACTAAGACTACCCTCACAAGTCTTCAAAATGTCCCCATTGTGACCACTGATATGAGGCAAACACAATAGATGTCTTTTGTTCATAAATCAAAGGAGGCAATACAGCAACTCATATGTAAATGATTTCCAATTGCATTTTGAATATCCATTTCTTTGGCAAAATATAGGAGCATAGAAAAGATCTAAGTATATTTTAAGCAGATTTTTGAATGGGAAGCTAGGAAGCATACAAAGGAAGTCCCCCTCCACTCTTCCCCACCCTTTTTTCTTAACAAAAAGATAAAATAATAATAAGAATGGAACTGTTTGGAAGAGCACTGTGAGCTCTTAAACATCCTTGGTTTATGAGGTCACTCTACTGAGGTCATGGCTCATTCTCTGTCAACTGCCTGAAAAGTAAGGAGCAGCCACAAGTCTATCAACAGAGCTGGGACTTCAGCTTCTGAAACACCACCCATAAGCTGAGTTTTTTTTTCTCTATAGCCTTGTCCAAATATTCCCCAAATGGAAGTTAAAGAAAAGAGATTCCAGTGTCTTACATAGAATATCTCCATTCTGTATGTGCCCTTTGCTGTAGAATTTGCTTTATCATGACCCTTATAGGTAGGCTGCTTTAAATTTATATATATTTTACACAATTTATATATATATACAATGTATACAAGTATATTTATATGCAATGTATATATGTGTATAACCTACAATTGTATGACTAAATTGTATTTATTTTTTCATTGCACCCTGTATATCTAGTACATGTTATATCACTTCAACTGGTTTTAATCTAGGCTAAAAAGAAATTCAGGTTAATTCAGTTAGTATATATTCTTTCAAAATTTGGAATTAGGAAGAGATGAACCTTAAAGTTTTTATATTGGCATCGTTTGCTTTTAAATTTCCTTACATACACTCAGTGCTGTGTTCCTTTACTCAGCCTGGTCTCTCTTCAGGCTCTCCTTACTGCCAAGATCAGCACTTTTTTTTTGGATGCTATTAGCTTGCAAAGCTAAGGCATTTGGGATTTACTGGAAAATAAAAATAGGTTTGAACTTGTTCATATTCACCTGCTGTTCTCAAGATGAAAACACTCAGGAAAGCAATTTGGAACTCTATAAGACATTTTTACTTTTTTAATTTAAGGAAATTATTATATTTAATGAAAGTATGTGAGTTCAATTTTGCACCAGAAAGAGAACCACTAAGCTTTAGATAGTCATGTCCTGGTAGAAGCCTAAAACCTATTTTTGCTTCTAGTTTTTATCTTTCAATCATGTATAAGTTTAGTTTTAAAAAAGAGCAACAATATGTACAATATATCATTATAACTTTTCTCTGTCCAAAGACTACAAAATTTTAGTGAATAGTTTCTAGGGAGTATGTACCATTTCCAGTGTTACTGTGAACACATATGCCCCTCAGAGTGATAAAGTATGCGGGTCGAGGAGATGAAAATATATATATGTCATGATTAAAGTGACACTTCCAACACCAAAATCTACTTACTGGTAGCCACCAACAGTGCCTGAATCATTTATTATTAGAGTTATTCTTGTTTTTATTGTATTTTATTTTTGATTGGCACTGAGAGTCCATCTAAAGCATGAGGCTTCTATTCAGCACGTTCTATACTCAAACCCAGATTCTGCTTCTTATGAACTATGTAGACAAGATACGTCTCTGAGATTTGATGTCTTAATCTGTAAAATGAAAACAATAACACAGGTCTTATAAAATTATTGTGACACTTTGATGAGATAACTGAGTTGAGAAGTATCTGGCATAGTAGGTATAGAATAGATATTCTGTTTCTTTTTCTCTCACATCTTTTAATATACATTCAACACATATTTTTTGGAAAAGGTCTTTTTGCATGTTAATTGTGATAGTTTTATCATTGCAGAAATATTTTAGCAGAAAATTGGGTTTGGGGGATAGCAATTTAGGCACTGTAGTGGCAAGGTTACAATTATTACAACAGAAACCTCATTTGCTTGAAATTTCCCTCTGGGGTTGTGTTATATCTTTTTTGAAACCTCTCTTACACATGCACTTAGAACAAATGCACATCATCCCAACAACTCCCTCTAGTTTCCTATGTTCTCCCCTACATTTAAAATTAAAACTATGGTTGAGTTTAATATTTTCTCTCAATATATAGGCTGTCTTTTTATTTTGTTGATCATTTCTTTTGCTCTGCAGAAACTTTTTAGGTAAGGCCTATGTCAAGGAACTTTCCCCCTATGTTTTGTTCTAGTTTTATGATTTTAGTTCTTATGTTTAGGTCTTCTAACCATTTGGGATTGATTTTTGTGTATGGGTAAAATATGCTGTAGGATAAGGTATAAGATATGGTCTGATAAGGGTTTAATATCTGAAATATATAAGGAACTCACACAACCCACAGCAGGTATGTGGATAAAAAGCTAAACATCATCAGGGAAATGCAAATATAAACTACAATGAGCTATTACCTCACACATATTTGATTTTCAAAAATAACCAAAAGATAACAGGTGCGGGTGAGCATGTGGAGAAGAGAAGAGGGAACCCTTGGGAATATAAATTAGTATACCCATTATGGAAAATAGTATGGAGGTTCCTTAAAAATTTAAAGATAAAACTACCATATGACCCAGAATTCCCTATGCTGCGTATATAGCCAAAGAGAAGGATATCATCACCTCACAGAGATATCCACAGCGCCATGCTTATTACAGCACAATTCACAATAGCCAAGATTTGGAAACAACCTACATGTCCATTGGTGGATGAATGGATAAAGCAACTGTAGTATATATGCATAACGAATATTATCCAGACCTTTAAAAAAGAAGATACTGACATTTGTGGCAACATGGATAAACCTAAAGGACATTATGCTAAATAAAATAAGCCAAACACAGAAAACCAAATATCTAAAATATGATCCTATATAAGGAATCTGAGAAAATAATCATACTTAAAGTGTAGAAGGGTTGTTATCAGGTGGGGGGGAAGAAATGAGTAGAAGTACACTAATGGGTACAAATTTGCAGTTATTAGAATGAATAACTAGATATCTAAAGTACAGCATGAAGACTATAGTTAACAATATCGTATACTAAAAAGTCGCCAAGAGAATAGGTTTTAGGAACTACACACACACATACACACAGGAAGATAATGGTACTGAATAGATTAACTTGCTTAACTATAATAATTATTTCACTATGCATATGTGTATCTAAACACAATGTTGTGTACCTTAAAGATATACAAAAATAAACATCAAACTATGAGTATAGCTTTGCCCATTGAATGAAATGCATAATGGAGTGTGTCCCTCTATGTTGTCTAAAATTTTTATGCTTCATATTTACAAATTTGTATTAAATTATTAATCACCATTCATAGGGCCAAATATTTTTCTGCCTTAATCTTTCCACAGTGCTCTGTCACATGCATGCAGAAGGGCTTATTTGGAAAGAAAGAAAATAAGACAGGCAAATGAAAAATTGTAATTGATCAAGAAAAGCTAAAAGGTGTTCATGGAATAAAAACTGACAAGACTCTGTTGCTTACCTTTTAGCAAAGTAACAAATCTTGGGTGCCTTAGGTTATTTTTGTAATTCTAAATATCATTTTCTACTTTCAGGGGGAAAAAGCCCAGCAAGTTAATAAGAATCTTTTATACTTTTGTACAAAATTATAAACATTTATAAAGTATAATACAGGGCAATATATCAAGAATGATTCTATCCTTCAATCTTGTTAATTTGTATCTCCAGTGAATTTACAGTCCCAGCTATATGAAACATAAAGAAATTAGTGTTTCTGGATAAGATGAGCCAAAAAGAAAAGAAAAAAAATTAGAAAATATTAGCTTTTTACATTTTAATAGGGATGATCCTTTCACAGCATTTATATAGCTTAAACTAGCGCTCTCAAAGAAAAAAAATTAACCTCTGAAGCCTTTCTTCAAAGAAAAACCAAATATAGAAAAGAGACTGAAAAATGGAGTTCCTTCTTAGTGAAAGGGGAAAGGATTTAGGAGTGTTCCCCTTGCCTTGTACTTGTGTCTATACCACCTTGGGTGGTTTCTGACCCTCAGACAACCTAAACTCCAGAACTTCAGATCACAGCCAAGATAAAGCAAATTCTCACTATTCTTAGAGGTAGCCTACTTATCTATGTAGCTTTCCACACATGTGACAGAGGCAGATATTGTTACATATCTAGTCCATATTACAATGCCTATCCTGTCCTTTAGCTTCTGTGTCCTAACAGGGCTGATGTTAGCACTCCAACAAAAGTATCTTCTGTGTATACTCAGGCTCCACTGGTTTGAAGTAGCTTCTGTTATGAATTTTGTATTTCAGCCCCGTATATGACACACCTGAATGAGAGCTGTTTTGCTGCTTGGCACATTGTTCAGTGACTCACTTATTATCTATCCATCTATCTATCCATCTATCCATATTTGTTGGAAATTACTCTATTCAAGGCATTGCCCCCTTTTTTCCCTTTCAAGACTAGATCTTGATGAGATACATATTTTCCAAACAGGGAAATGGACTATACTGCTTAACCACAAGAAAGCATTTTTCTTCATGTAGAGGCCTGCTTAAAAGACATGAAATAAAAAAGTGAGAAAATTCAGTGCCTACTCTATTGTAAATGTTTCATCTCACTCATGTACATTCCACACAAATATATATGGAATCTTTCATATTTTGATTTGCCACATCACTTGATATATGCCATTCAGTTGAGCAATATTCAAAGGATTTTCAGATTTTCTTTAAGAGAAATGGTTTTATGGCTAATATTATTAATACTTCATGGCCATTTCTAATTTTAAAATATTACAGGGGGACAAATGTTTTTCATTACATGTATCAATTTTGTTATGCTTGACTCAGGGTTATAAGTGTGCCCATCAACCAGATAGGGTTTGTTGTACCCATTAGGTAGGTTTTTGCCAATCTCCTCCTACCCTCTACCCCCTGCTTGCGTTCCACTGAGTTTTACTTCCCTCTGTGCCCATGTGTGCTCATCAGTTATTTCCAGTTTAACAGTGAGTATATGTAGTGTTTATTTTTCCATTCTTTAGATACTTCACTTAGATCTCCAAATCTATCTAAATTGTTGCAAAAGGACTTAATTCATACATCTTCATGGCTAAGTTGTATTCCATACTATACATATACCACATTTTGTTAATGAACTCATACATTGATGGGCTCTTGGCTTGATTCCACATCTTTGCAATTATGAATTGTGTTACAATAAACATTCGAGTGCAGGTGTCTTTTTGATAAAATGGCTTCTTTTCCTTTGGTAAATACCCAGTAGTGGGATTGTTGGATCAAATGGTAGGACTGCTTTTGAGGAACTCGAGATTCAGAGATCAATTCGTGTGCTCGAGGTCATGCAAACCCTGGTAGAGGGAAGCTGGAATTGGACCCCCTGCCCGACTCCAACGTGGATTATTCTTCAACAGTCTTGTTTTCAGTCTTTTTTTTTTTTTTTTGGAGTTTTTCATAAAAGCCATTCTAACTGAGGCAAGGTGATATCTCATTGTGCTTTCAATTTGCATTTCCCTGATAATTAATGACATTGAG